AAGGGAAATTCCAAATAAAGTACCACTTATCAGTCGGGTCAACTTGCATTCTCTTTTCAAGAGTATCCATGTTCACTAATACGGTGACAAAGTACCGTACAGTCCACATGGGGTTTCACCAAGGGCATATATAATTGCAGGAGCACGTCTGTACATTAATGGCTGATGCTTTTGATCATTAACCCAAGCATTCCATTTGCTTTGTTACTCACATTGATATAGTGCTGCACAGCTTTCTTTGTTTCTTTCAATTTGCCCAATTTTGCATCATTCCTCTAGTAGATGGTGCCACTGTCATTTCCCAAATTTAGAACTTTGCAAGTATTGTATCTAGGTTGAACTGTATGTCACTTTCTGACCAATTCTACAGTATGTCAAGGTCTTTCTGGAGTTTTACAGTCATTCAAGTTCACCATTTGCCCCACTTTCATGTCAACTGGAAATTTTCTAGATACAGTATTACTGTTCAAACAAACATCTAGGTTGTTGACTTGTGAATAATCAAAGCCCCAGAACAGAGCCCTGGAGTACACCACTAGTGACATTACTAACTTCAACTTGTTTATGCAACCCGCTGTCTATCGTTCACCCAGGCTGTCTGGTTCAGTTGAGAACTTTTTTCCAATGCAAAGTGATGAGTACCCACAGAAAAGTTAAATAACAGTACGCTTATGTCAAATCTGAAATTTACAATACTGAATAGGTGCTAAACTATTATAAGAATGGGAGTAGCCTATAGTAATTACAAAATTAGTTTAATACAAAAGCTATTTCAATGCATAATATCTATACCATACCACTTGACAAGATCAAAAGTGCTGTCGGTTGAGGAGCATACTTAGGCAAATAGGAAAATTCATGTAGTAGGCTCAGCGCTATTTTTATTTACATTTGAATGTTGAGGTAATTAGTCAAAAAGAGTACAGTACCAGGTTAACAATTACATTACAAGATAAGAGATGTGAATATTGAGAATAGCAGTAGAACCTAGGTTCTCAGTTTTCGGTTCTCATGATAAATTTTTAAGAGAAATTCGATTCGGTAGTCTTAGTTTGCCTCAGTGGTCGTAGTTTGTTTATACACGTATTGGTCCACCGCAAGCATGGCATTTCAGTTTACCAGTGTCTCCTGCCTACTGATGATCGCGCTTGGATTCTTTGAAGAATTTCATTGTTTTTATGTTTTTTTTTATTTCTGAACATAAAAGTTATTATTATAAATCACACTTCCAAAAAAGTCAGTGGCAATGTTCAACCTAAGACAATAGTTGTGAGGATGATAGCGGAAAAACAAGAGATCATTCATAGCGAGACAATGTGATGTCTCACTACAGACAAGTGTTAAAAAGTAGAGAAAAACATGTGTCTATAGACAGATTCTTAGTAAGACAAGCAAGAAGTGAACCACAACCAGGTCCTAGTGGTATGCCTGCAAAACGTAAAAGAGTACCCCACAAATGTCATCACTGCTGTTATAATGGAAGGGGACTCCCCTTCTAAACACTAACACCTCTCCTCCTTACCCTTCTCACTGTCTTCCATACGCCAACAAGAGTCCTCCATAAGGTAAGGTACCTAAGAGTATTATTCTGTATAAAATGTACTTTTTAGTTAATATTTTTGGGGGGTGTGGAACAGATTAATTCAATTTACTGTACAGTATTTCTTATGGGAAAATTCGTTTCAGTTTTCAGAGTTACGGTTTTCGTACCGTTTCTGGGAACTGATTAACTACGAAAACGAAGGTACCACTGTACAGTACTTTTAATATACCATAAGTGGTTCCGATGTGAATTCCTGTGAACTCCTCTAATTTATGGAATTGTACATTAATATCAATGCCAATCTAATAGGATCCATCAATGTTTGCAGAAAAGCTTTACATACAAGTTCAGGAAATATAAATAGTGCTGCATTTTAAATAAAGTGGTATGAACTGACCACTATTTGCCGTTACAGTACAAATAACCAAAGGTTATTCAAAGGGGAAATTTGCTAACCCTGTATTGGTAAATCTAATTTTTTTCACATTAGATGTCCAAGCAGTTCATGCTAAAAGCATCTGCAATGCTTTCCTAGTATCTGGGCCTGGAAGCCTACTTGGCCATAAACCAAAGCAACACACAAGACCAATCTGTTGTGAGCTACCTGCACTAGTCTCCACCAAACAGTAACCATTATCCCTTCAATATAAATTGACATTCTATTTTGTCCTGTTCCACTTGCATAAGAAATTAAACCGATTGACATGGACACTGCTTATAACAAAATGCCCCATACGCTACAGTACTGTAATTTATGTAAACACAAACTTCATATATTACAAAAACCAACATACAAACTTGTTATATTACAAATAACTGAACCACGTGAAAATGAAATGTTTCGGCTTGTCCTGGACCCCTTATCAAATCCCCACTTTCATTTTCATGCGTGTGGGTTGAGTTCAACCCACTCAAATTAATCAACTCGGTTGATTCCAAATGTGTTTCAATTGCTTTACTGTATTTTATTGATATTCAAATTCATATGCATAAATTCCATGATCAGGGTAGGCTATCCAGATAAAAGTACTGTACTATACAACCTAGGCTACAGTAAATCACAATTTACTATTTTTTTTTACCCAAAAAATTTTACCAGCAGCAAACCAAAACGTTTGCTGTTAATACAGTACAGTATGTATATACATCCAAGAACATGTGTTCTAATTAAAGTGGCTAAAAGAGCCACCACACTTTCCAAACAGCATTGACTTTTTTTTTTTTTTTTTTTTTAGCACAGTTCAGACAACCTTAACCAATTTTACACCTTTGTGTAGTATGCTGGGAAGAGGGAAAGCATATTGGTACAGCATGACAACTATCAAAACGAGTTGCTACACTGCCGAGTCATTCCAGCCAATTATACTATACTGGACGAGATAAGACTAGGTAGATTAGGTTTACTTAAGTTAAACAAGTTTAGGCATGTCTTTTTAGATTAAGTATAAATGAATCAGTTTACGTTTGGCTAGAAGCAAGTTAGAGCAGGTGGCTTCACTGAATTTGACCAAAATACTAGTTAATACTAGCTGTCATGGCCCCTTTCATGTGACTATTTTCAAGCTCGCAACTAAATTAAAAGTTTTATAATTGAAACAAATGATGTGCAAGATCAAAATGCCAGGGAGCTTCATAGCAAGAAAACATTTAATAATCCCCCTCCTCCAACGAAATAAAAAATGACAATTTGATAAGGGTCCAAGATGGATCAAAATGTCACATTTCATGTGTAGGGGTTTGGGTTATTTGTTTTCACCCACATTTCTCCAATTTTCTGCATTATCAACAGTACAGTATTGTAATTAGGCATGGAAAATGAACTCCTTTTATATTGCGTGTTGGAAGCACTTCATATATGATTTCGTTCAACAAAATTTGGTTTAATAGCCGAGCCTGCTATGCAATTGGATAAAGGATGCATGATAGACAAAATTTACACAGTATTTCAGTGTTAATTGCTAAGCTTAACAAACCGAGTATTTTTCCTCAACCCTTTCATGTGACTGAATGGTCAGCCACAGCATACATGGATATAGTTCTTAATATTTAACCTAAACAAATTGTAAATAGGTAAACAAACCATTGATGTACTGTACACATTAACCCACCATAATTACAGTACTTAATTCATCAATACTGCCACTTGCCTCTTTAAGCAAAAATACTGGGGTTAAGTTCCTGAACTTCAGGGCACTACTAACAGGATGGGCATGGGATATAGATAGATAACAGTAAACTATGGTGCAGTGTTTGGCCCAGCTCACTTAACTAATTTTACTAGTTTAAGTTACTAGCACGGCAAGTTTCCTTACACCCGATGCTACTGTTCACCTAGCAGTACATAGGAAGCCAAGAGTTGGGCAACTTGTGGGTTGCATCCTGAGGATGGTCTCTTATGTCTAGGTCCTAGGGGCACTTCCCAAGTTACACACGCTTCTTGTCACAATGGAAAACCCAACTAGGAAAATCATTTCACAGCAATTCAAAGCAAGCAGCTTTTATCAGCGATGCCACAGCTAGCAAATATGTTGTCGTGACTTAACCAAAATACATTTCGTCAGGTTGTTGCTAATAAGCGTGTATAAACAAACCTTAGGTCGGAAAGGGTGTTCAAGCTTTGCATATTGTAAATTATACACTTGCCTATCCGTCTACAGGGAAGCGAGGTCTACCTCTTTATGCCCCGCCTACTAGCCTTCTACCTGCTGTGTTTCAACTACTCTCACTTTCAAATTCTTTGTGAATTGGACCTTAGAGTTGTGGATTCAAGTGGCCTCCAAATCTTCCTTTCAGAACATTCCACTTATTAACTACCCACACAGTACAAGTACTTTCTTACTTCCCTTTAGCACATTTCTGGCAAGAGTTGCATGTATAATTCATTATGTTTATATATCATGGTTCAAGTTTTGAACCTTATTCCCTAAAACCCAGTAAATACTAATCAGCTCCGGGGGAACTATGAACACGGGTCTGATGCTAGAGTTGTTGCAAGTTTCCTACTGCAGACGGATGCTATAATGTCAAAGTTTAATCTGCCCTTTTACAAACAATACAAGAACAGCCGTCAACACCAACCTTCCCAGACGAGTCCAGACCAAACTACTGCCAATGTTGACCTACAGATCCACAGCAGCCTCTTACAAGCCACAATATGGGTGGTGTATATTGACTCATTACCCTCAGCTATTAACCCCATCAACCCTCCCACCAAGTGACGAGCCGCCCACACCGCCCACAACACGAGAGTATAACCCCACACTCGGACAGGGGGCGTTATTAGCCCTCTAAAGCTCTTATTCCACAGTATATTGTGATGTGTAGAGGTAGAGAGGAGAGTGTGTGTGTGATAGTGGTGGGAGGGTGTAGCTAGTGTAGGTCCCCCACACCCAGCGGCTGGCTGGAGGGCTGCTCACTCCCACCACACACAACAAACCACAGTGCTGGAGTAACTTACCCATCGCCCACCACAACGCACTTAATGGCTTGCATAATCCCGTGTTTATATAAGCGACGAAGGCCCGTTAAACCACTTGTTAGCTAGGTAACGGAGGGGGGGATGGAGGGGAGGGGCGTGACAACCTCCTGCGACCACTGACACACGGACACTGGCGGCGGGGTGAGGCCTGCCAACATGGACGGCCTCCCCCGCCCCCTCCCTCCCTCCCCCGACAATCACCCCCACTCTTACCAACACCTTCATCATATCATCACCACTATCCCCCCCCTCTCTCTCTCTCTCTCTCCCTGTATGTAACACCTCTACCACAATCCTTTTCCCCTCAAACACACTATTTCTCTCAACGCCATGATGCATAGCTGCACGTATATTATTATTCTAACAACTTCACCACACTACCTTCCACTACTGCACTTCTAAACACTATTGCCAACACCTCCACCCACAGAGCGCTGATTCCCAATACACTATTCCTTCATTACCACTACACACTCTTATAACAAAATCTCTACCTCTATATATATGCTAATATATGACACTGTTAGTTATGAATACACCTCTAGCACTGTGCTACCTTACTACACTATATTTGTACTCCCACACACATATATATGAACACTTACACCACTCTAATATATTATTGGTATATCTATGTTATTTTACTACACTATATATTCCTTCACCACTCGGTTATATACTAACATTTCTGGCACTATACTACTACATTATAATCATCAATCATATGGAGGGGGGACCTTGAACAAGCCGCCGGCTTCCTGTCCTCGTCGAGGCCACTATAGTATTAGAGGCCCTCAGGTAAATATATTCCTCTACCACCCCTCACACCTTATATATATTCTGCTAAACCTGTCAAAGATATTTGATCAAAACATAATCTACAAGCAGCTTTATACATATATACATATATATATATATATATATATATATATATATATATATATATATATATATATATATATATATATATATATATATATATATATATATATATATATATATATGAGATTGAGATAATCCTTTCCATTAAAACAAAGTTTAGCGCCCTTGCTGAAATACCAACTCCAATTTAAAAAAAAATCTAGATTTTTAGCTCCTGCCATTGCATTGATCTACAACAAGTCACTTGAACTCCAAACCTTTCCGGGTATTCTAAAAAAGCGAGAGTAACCCCTGTCCATAAATGTGGTGATCTCACTGATGTCAACAATTTCAGACCTATACCAATTCTGCCAAACCTGTCAAAGATATTTGATCAAAACATAATCTACAAGCAGCTTTACTCTTATCTAGCCAAACACAAAATACTTAGCTCCTGCCAATATGGCTTCAGACCCCCAAAAAAGCACTAACGATGCACTTATTAGTATGATTAACTTGATACATGCAGCTCTTGATAAAAATGAGTTCCCGGTTGGTTTATTTGTTGACCTACGTAAGGCTTTTGACACTGTCAACCACCAAAACCTTCTTAAATTACATCATTATGGAGTCAGAGGTCACTCCCTCCAATACCTTCAATCTTACCTTACTCACAGGCTCCAGTATGTTTCTGTGAATAATTCTATTTCTCCTACCCTACCCATCAACATTGGTGTTCCACAGGGCAGCATACTTGGCCCTCTCCTCTTTCTCATCTACATTAATGACCTTCCAAATGCCTCTCAACACCTCAAACCAATCTCATTTGCTGATGACACAACTTTCATTTTGTCCAGTCCTGACCCTCTTGCCCTAAATGTCACAGTGAACGCTGAACTTAAAATGAAGTCCATCTTTAGCTAACTGCTAATAAACTCACCCTTAATATTGACAAAACTTTCTATATTTTATTTGGTAATAAATCCTCAAGTGAAATTAATCTAAGAATAAACAATATTCAGATCAGTAACAAAGTAGATGGCAAATTCTTTGGTGTTCTCATCGATAACAAGCTGAATTTCCAGGGACATATTCTAAATATAGCAAAAAAAGTTTCTACAACTGTCAGCATTCTAAGATCAGATACTATGTACCTCGCCCTGCCCTGGTGACGCTCTATTACTCTCTCATCTATCCTTATCCCAATTATGGTATTTGTGCTTGGGGTTCTACTACCCAAAATCATTTACGTCCTCTAATTACCCAACACAAAGCTTTTATTAGAACAATATCTAACTCTGGCCCCAGACATCACTCGGTACCCTTACTCAAATCTTTGAATATGTTTGATATTAAGTCACTGGACATTCTCTCATGTGTACTCTATATATTTAAAAATCTGAACTGTAATGTCAATCCTGACCTTAAAAGCTTCTTAGACGGTTGTAACAGAACCCATGGGCACCACACCAGAAACAAATACCTATTTGATATTCCAAGAGTGCGACTTAATCACACTAGAAATGCTCTACAAATCAAGGGACCCAGAATGTGGAATGACCTTCCCAATCATGTCAAAGGCTGTTGACCAGACCACACACTAGAAGGTGAAGGGACGACGACGTTTCGGTCCGTCGACTTGAGAATGGTCCAGGACGGACCGAAACGTCGTCGTCCCTTCACCTTCTAGTGTGTGGTCTGGTCAACATACTTTAGCTACGTTATAATTGTGACTCATCGCCTGCATGTCAAAGGCTGTACCTCTTTCAACCAGTTTAAGAGTAAAACGAAGCACTTCCTAATTAACTCCATGTATCTTACCTTACCCCCTAAATGTCAACCCATGTCTTGCTATTTTAAACAATGCTGTTTGTTGACCAACTTGTACAATTGCTGATTTCTGCCATGTCCCCCCCCCCTGTTTTTTTATTCCTTTTTTTTAACACAATTTATACTTTAATCTCATTTACTATTAATTTTTAGTCTAAGTGTCTTTTTTTCCCCCCCATCTCACCTTGCCCGAAACACTATGCGTATTAGTGACTTTAGGTATTGTATATACTAGATTTATAAATCCAACATTATGTTTGTAACTCTTCATCAATGTATGTACTTTTACCTGAATAAAAAATTGAATTTGATAATTTGAATTTACCTGAAATCTACGTTAGTTGTAACACAAGTGAAAAAAACTTAACTTGTACATAATGAAATGAACAGCTTTATCATTTCATAAGTAAACAAATTTAAAAATTTATAAATTCAGAAAATTTATAAGAGCTTTTTTTAAGAGCTTTTTTTGTAGAGCATTTCAAGTTCATGTCGACATGAACTTGAAACCGGCCATATACTGCAGGTATGTTGACGACATTTTTACACAGGTCTAACATCTGCAGGAGCTGAAGGAGGCATTTGAGTGGAATTCTGTGTTGCGTTTCACTTACGAGATGGAGAAGGATGGGAAGCTGCCCTTTCTAGATGTAACAGTCATGGAAAGGAGCAGAGGTTTCCACACTGCAGTCTTTCCACACGTAGATATATGACCGAACCTAACCAACCCTACCTAACCTAACCTAGCCTAACCTATCTTAACCTAACCTAAACTAGCATAATTAAGTCAATAATTTGTTATTAATATAATATAATAATAATAATTCAAATAAACTATTTGGAAACAATTTATTACAAATAAAGAAAATCACTCGGCCTATTAGGCAAATCGGGCCTTGCATAGTAGGCCGAGAAGTGCGTTCTGGCTACTAGGTACGATATATATATATATATATATATATATATATATATATATATATATATATATATATATATATATATATATATATATATATATATGTCGTACCTAATAGCCAGAACGCACTTCTCAGCCTACTATTCAAGGCCCGATTTGCCTAATAAGCCAAGTTTTCATGAATTAATTGTTTTTCGACTACCTAACCTACCTAACCTGACCTAACCTAACTTTTTCGGCTACCTAGCCTAACCTAATCTATAAAGATAGGTTAGGTTCGGTCATATATCTACGTTAATTTTAACTCCAATAAAAAAAAAATTGACTCATACATAATGAAATGGGTAGCTTTATCATTTCATAAGAAAAAAATGAGAGAAAATATATTAATTCAGTAAAACTTGGCTCATTAGGCAAATCAGGCCTTGCATAGTAGGCTGAGAAGTGCGTTCTGGCTACTAGGTACGACATATATATATATATATATATATATATATATATATATATATATATATATATATATATATATATATATATATATATATATATATATATATATATATATATATATGTCGTACCTAGTAGCCAGAACGCACTTCTCAGCCTACTATGCAAGGCCTGATTTGCCTAATGAGCCAAGTTTTCCTGAATTAATATATTTTCTCTAATTTTTTTCTTATGAAATGATAAAGCTCCCCATTTCATTATGTATGAGGTCAATTTTTTTTATTTGGAGTTAAAATTAACGTAGATATATGACCGAACCTAACCAACCCTACCTAACCTAACCTAACCTATCTTTATAGGTTAGGTTAGGTTTGGTAGCCGAAAAAGTTAGGTTAGGTTAGGTTAGGTAGGTTAGGTGGTCGAAAAACAATTAATTCATGAAAACTTGGCTTACTAGGCAAATCAGGCATTGCATAGTAGGCTGAGAAGTGCGTTCTGGCTACTAGGTACGACATATATATATATATATATATATATATATATATATATATATATATATATATATATATATATATGGCACAACTCTCCTAAACACGAGAGTCAAGTATACAACTTTAGAACACTTTCCCACCATGAGACTCGAACCCTAGCCAGCACAGAAGCCTTCCAGCAACTGGCATAACAGGTACGCCTTAACCCTCTCCACCACCTGCTCAGACCCTTAAAAGAGATGGTAATTTCGGAGTATTTAAATACCACAAAGATCACCACCTCCCAAGAGCACTAGAGCAAGTGAGGGGTCATTTAGACGTTAATTTCATCAAGTCCCTGTTAATATGGGAAGACACAGTGTCTATGCTTAAGGCACAACTCTCCTAAACACGAGAGTCAAGTATACAACTTTAGAACACTTTCCCACCAGGAGACTCGAACCCTAGCCAGCACAGAAGCCTTCCAGCAACTGGCATAACAGGTACGCCTTAACCCTCTCCACCACCTGCTCAGACCCTTAAAAGAGATGGTAATTTCGGAGTATTTAAATACCACAAAGATCACCACCTCCCAAGAGCACTAGAGCAAGTGAGGGGTCA